AGTAAACCAAATTCAACTGCTAGTGATTATGAAAGTTACACATAACATTCATCACTATTGCCCAGGGACAGCGAACTCTTTTGTCTTGTTTTAGTGATTATGAAAGTTACACATAACATTCATCACTATTGCCCAGGGACAGCGAACTCTTTTGTCTTGTTTTAGTGATTATGAAAGTTACACATAACATTCATCACTATTGCCCAGGGACAGCGAACTCTTTTGTCTTGTTTTAGTGATTATGAAAGTTACACATAACATTCATCACTATTGCCCAGGGACAGCGAACTCTTTTGTCTTGTTTTTTGAATTTCGCGTAAATCTACACAAAAGATTTCTGTGCAAAGTAGTCCCTAATTTTGAACTGACAGATTAGAGGTGAGGCAGCTTGGCATTAGCATCCACCGTAATTCACTACTCTTATCTCATCTAATAATACGCCTTGACTGTTACTTTGATATCGCGCCCACGCCCTCAAAATGCAGAGCACGCTTCAACGGCAACGGGTCGTGATCCATATATGCTCGGATTCAAAATCCTGAACGAACATTTTCTACTGTTAAGTTTCAAAAGTGTACACATCATGTGTTTGGCGGTTTCGTGAGTTCCAGATCCAACCAGGAGTTTTAGTGAAACTTTTGTGTAAATAGTACAAGTAAAAAAAAAACAAATGGAAAAATTATTTTATTTTATTTTTACACTTAATAAAATAATAATAGGGATCGTAATTAAATTTATAAGTAGAAATGATAATCACAGTCGTGGTTAATTTTTTAATGAATTCAAACAGTGTGTTACACCATTTCCCCATTTACGGACAGTGCATTTTTAATCTGACAAGTTAACTGTGTTCTACCCTACAAACTGTGTTCTACCCTACAAATTGAATCCTTTTAGCGCTTTTCTTTTCAGTCTTTCTATCTATCTCTCAAACGGACATGGCATTATTCCTTGGAAGAAAAAAAAAAGAAAACTTCACGTGCCAAAGATTCGCAAACCCTAACTAGACATTTTGATTGTTTTAGTGAATAAACTAGATAATGAACAAACACCGCTTACGTTTCCAGCCTATCTTAATTTACCATCAATTAATCGAAATTACTGAGTTTATTAAGCGTATTTATGGGATAAAAAATTAGTACGTTATTAAGTGTTTCTGTAGAGCAGCAAAACATTTCAAGTTATTAAATGTGTTTATAGGGCGACCAAAAATTAACAAACTATTAAACCTAATCAATTAACTGTGTGTTGAAAACATCATTATGTAATACATCGCTTTTCAGCTTCGACTAATTTCCTTAACACGTTAAATAGATACAATCATACACAAAATTCACTCAATAAAAGTGTAGCTTCTGTAAAATAGAATGTTTAAATATATATTCTACTAGAAAAAATGGCACACCACAATGTACGAGATAAAACTTCGCAGTCATATATACTGAATATTAACACTATGAAGTTCGAACCCTACAAAAAACCCGCATGTCAAAACCATTGTTTAAAGACTAAACACTGTCAGAAAGATGTTAATATAATTTACCTGAACACATGTAGCAAGAAAGAAAAAGAATGACATTAGTAGATTTACACACCGCCAGAGCACCACGTTCGTGGATCCACGATAGCTAGTTTTACTGATAGGAGCCTTGGGTCTGTAAACAGTGCGAAAAAAATATGTTAATAACATAAATAACAAATATTAAATTAACAGTACTTAACGTACGCGTATAAAGATTACGTTGAATAGGTTTCAAAATTACAGGAATTTGTATTACACTACTGTGTTATTTTTCAATTGTATACCTATCTAGAATTTACAGGAATATCCATTATATTATAACAGAAAACTTACGCACACACAAAACCAGTATATGAACTTAGGTAGGTTAAAATATTTTATATCTGTATGATTTGTTTGTAGTCAAGCACAAAGTTACACAATGGGCTATCTGTGCTCTGCCAACCACGGGTATCGAAACCCGGTTTTTAACGTTATGAGTCTTCAGCTTACTGGGGAACTTTGTATAATTTGATGATTTACAGATGAAAATATTATAAATTCATAGAATTTTTCCAGTTGAATTTATAAAGAACATGG